TGTGGCTTTTCGTAGGGAAAACGCTTGCCAGGCGAAAACCCACCACGTCCTGGAACACTGCCGGCATTATTTACTACAGTATGCTGAAACACCAGCCAAGGTGCCGTCCAAATGGGTCAGCACAAGCTGGAATAATCATCCACACAACACATTATCGCACTAAGGTGACACGTATCCTCGCGGCTCTCGCCTTTTTGTGGACCATTCATCACCATTTCACTGCATATCACCTAGCGTGCATTCATTCTACTCGGAATCATCTTCTCTACACGGTGGATCCATTCCACCCGGATTATTCCCATCGCTTCAACCTCTAGCTTGTGTCTGTGTTTTTCGCGGAGTTTGCCAGGGAATTCACACGCAAAACCTCTGCAGTCGCAGCTTTTCGTGGATTTTTTTACAACCCTTCGAATTTTTACATCATTCGACAGAGAAATCTTTCCGCTTGCTAACAAGCCTTCAGTCGCTTCACAGCACCACTGTGCATAACAGTTACAGAAGAAATTCATTCTTAACTTGCGCACTCAAGCGCCCAGCAAACTTCACGATCGCCATCACATCTCGGCCAGATCAATTCACTCACTCAGACGAACCAAGCACGTCCTGCACGGCCTATTCAAACGTGACCGCATGACGCACAGGCCCATCACGCGTAAGTCGGTCAACGTGTCCTCCGACCACAAGCGGACAAGACGGTGTGAATGCTCAGGGCTACTCTTAAATAAAATCCCCGCTAATGTTTGAAACATATCCAAAATGCTACCGTGCCCGTGCCGTCCCCACATTTTCAGTTTGGCTTTAAATGCAACTACTTTGTCTTCCAACTTGAAAATACTTGTCATTTCCCCCTGAATGTATAGATTGAGTTCATTGAGCACGCTGAATAAGTCACACGGGTAGGTCCGTTTTGCGACCTAGACCTTGTCACTGACTTCTTTTCTAAGAAAACTCTTTGCAATGGCTCTCCTAATTCACCTACTCCGGTTAGTGATTTTCTCCTGGATATCCATCTTATGTCTGTGTACAAAAGAAGGCATATGTGCTCCTAGTCCATCATCTAACGAAACTGCTCAAAACGGGCTCAAGTTGAGGACTTGGGCTTTGATGTGATTAGTAACTGCAGCGCGATCAATATGATGTTGAATTCCGGTGACATTTCTCGGCTTGCCAGCATTTCCCATGGGATGGTGCAATACGCAGATTCACCATCAGTTGCGACCTCATTACTCCGAGCAGTTAACCTAGTAAATCGTCCGGTCATAGCAGCATCTCCGTTTGTGTATACGGTGACACAAGTGGACCATTAGTTGTTCTGATATCTAACCATCCACTGACTTGAACAGTTCTGCTCATGTGGCGTTGGTTAGCGAAGATAAAGCACATAACCTCATGCACTTCCTCCTGATAAAGATACGCACATAAACAAATATAAACAATCTATAAATAAATGGTATCCCATTGTCGAAATCTGTAGATTCGTCAACGAGAAATGCGTACGTCTTCAAGAATTGGGTCTCAGTGTCTTCGGCTATTTTCTCAATTCGTCTAGTCACGGTGTTAACCGACGAAGGCACGTGTGCTATCTATTTCACAGCAGCCTCTCCTATAAGCTCATGGCAAATGTCTTTAGTGGAAGGTAAGATAATTTCTTCATCCACAGTGAATGGTAATTTAGCTTTAGCAATACCGTTAGCCACCAGATGATGCTTTATGTAGTTTCCTTAAGTGATGTGTCCCACAAGAATTTCTTCTCTCTTTCGTGTTCCCGCTACTTTCTTTCAAAGCACTCCAGGGTCTTGTCTTTGAATCCAGGGTGCTTGGCCTTCAAGTGGCGAAACAATTTTGCAGGTTTCACTGCCTCATTAGAGCCGGTCGCCGTAAACTATGCAAAACGGGGTTCGTGTGTGGGAATCATCTGTCCCGATAAATCTAAAGTTCAAGTAGGACTCAAGGTATTGTCTGATAAAAAATTTATGTTTCCTTGATGTTGGAGGCTCTTCTTCTGTCTCTTCATATGGCCTTTACCTTTTTCCAGGGGAACTTTCTAACAACGTCTGTTTCGTACTCGTATTTGCTAATTTGTGGATTAAGTGTCAGCGTTCAAGTAACCAAGATTCAAACTGGAAAATAAAACATGGTTATTCTCAGCTAGTAAATGCAGATTAAGGTGCAAAAATAAAACACAATATAAACGTAAACCAATCACTGTTAAACATGAGAAACTCCATGTGAGAAAAGCGATGCACATCCCAATAAAACGCACAACGCCAATGCCGCACACAGCCGCTCAGTCCCCGGTTAACCTCTCGTCCATAGAAAGTCTCACAATCCCGATAGAAATATACCACAGCAAATAAAATGGAAATAATTTAATGTTTCTTGATCGGCCAGGCACCCTTCGACCCACGAAACGGTACCGGTCCGCGGACCGGAGATGGGTAACAAATGGTCTACGCGTTCATCTCCTGATTTATTGTCATTTGGCTAGTAGTGCAGCAACTATTATTGCTGCCCGAGGCAGTGGTAAACTTTTCGCCCTGAAAGAAGGCAGGATAGGCGCTCAAGGTCACACAATAGGCTAAGATTAAAATGCTAGTTAAATTCGACGCAATGGATGACCATTAGGAACACTGAATTAAAGCTTGTGAAGGTGATCACAGTAAGCCAAGTAACGAGATGGCTGGGAAGGCAATGGCAAATGATGCAAATCTGTTTTGGGTCAAATACAAACAGTCTGAGAATATAGGTCCAGCGGCATCCGTGTTGTTGCACCAATGAGCCACCTGAAGCTAACTTGACGCGTTCTCTATAAACTGAACCCGTCCAATTGACACGCTGTGTTCGCCCGCAAACGTCCATGAGACTGCGCGTAAGCTGTGTCACACTTTGCCTCTTTTGTCAGGCCGCATATGAAGTGGAGACTCGACTGCAAACTGCATCATCTGACGGCCACTCTGACGCGGAGACTCAGCCGAACTCATTATCAAAAGCACACGATGATCTGACTTCGATACGACTGCGGACTGAAAGGTAAACCGCTAACGGAGGTCAGTGTGAGGACAACGAGCGCTGACCTCACCAGTGTAGGGCGAGGCTGGTCACAAGTACACACACACACACACACACACACAGCAGTCAGGTTATGACTAGGCGAAGTGATGAAAGTCTTGCCATTTGTTTATCGGATCACTGGCTGGGCGATGTATATATTTGCAAAAGTCTGTTAACAGACATAATGCCATTAGAAACCATGGGATTCAAACGAAGGTACAGAAACAGTAAAATAAAACACAACACAACAATGTCCATGGTTCCCTCAGAGGGCGAGATACTACCCGGTTGCCCAAGCCGAAGTAGGGTGTTGACTTAGGGGACACCACCCCGAGCCTTTGGCTGAATAGCCTGCCCGCAAGGCATCGGAGCGAATTCAGGGAATCGCACCCATTGGGAGCCGGTGACTGATTGCTCAGTTCATACGCCTTTTGTTTGTTCCTTTGTCAAACAGGGGCCCAATGCTCCCCAGAAGTACAGCATAAGGTTGCTGGAATACAATGCTTCGCCAGGATGAAACAAGGGGCAGTGACTTTATTTAGTGGCGAGTCACATCCGCCACGTCACAGTGTTGTTAAACGGACATATGTGGCTTTTTATAGGGCGAACACTTGCCAGGCGAAAACCCACCACGTCCTGGAACACTGCCGCCGAACCATTTGCTGGAACGGGAAAATCCCGAACCACCCAGCTGGCACCACGAGGAGGTTGTTTCGGCTGGGCGATGGATCAAGAGCATATACCGCCATCACCAAGTTAATCCCAATCGTGCTGTGCTTGTGAATCAGCGAGTGCTCATTTTTCGTCTGTATGACGAGTGCGGGTGAGAAAATTTGAGAAAACCGGGAGTGTGTGCGATGTCAAAAAACAGCGCGTTGTAACGCGCCTATTTACCCATGAAATTCCTCTACTCGTCGCTTCGTGGTCTAGTCTACAAAGGGCCGATCGTTTATGGATATCGACCAGCTTTCATGTGCGCCTGCTTACATTCCCATTGTTAGCGTTGCATGTGTGTCTGTGTGTGCATGCTAATCACCGGCACTGGTTCCGTGCGTGTGCGTTTACCGACGACCTTGAATCTCTGGTGTCTCCTCATTTGCGGATGAATCTTTCGCCTTTTACTAAAGATTTCCGTGGGGAGGCACAACACAAACAATATTCAATTCTCGGCGGAAGTATTCAATTTGGTTCTCGCTTCGACGGATTGCTTAATTGGATCCCTCGGTTGGTGGTACTCGTATCCGGAAGTATTTAATTCTTCCAAATTGGTTCCTCTTCGCAATGCCAGCCACCCGCGCATCCACCCGGACAAAGGACTCATCCAAGTCAAGGCAAGTCCCTCTTGTTGCTGTCTCTCACTCTGGCTCTCGGGTTAGCTATAGAAATTCAGTTAGCAGTACGCGCTCACAGCTCCTGCTTGCTGAGTTGAAAGAAAAGCAGCTCAAGGAGGAGCTAGAACTAGAAACTAGGGAGCAGGAACTTAGCAAACAGCGTAGACTGTTGAAGGCTAGACAGGAGGTCGAATTCGCCCAGCGTAGAGCCTTGCTGAAAAACGAACAAAGCGATGTAGACCTGCCCGCACTCCCTATTTATTCGCCAAACAAAGTTGACGAGTTTGTCACGGAATGTGCTGCGGTAGCTGCGAATCAACCATCCGCCGGTTGTTATGACGATTTGCCGATTGACCCCCCCCCCCACTGCCACGTTGGGAAACGCCATAGCGTCCGCTCTCGTCCCACTTATTGCGGAAGCTGGTCTCCCCAAAGTAGAGATGGCTTATTTCGATGAGCACCCAGCTGACTACTGGGTGTTCGTCAAGCAGTTTGAGTTCTATGTGGAGAGCAAAGTGGTAGATGACGGAAGACGTCTGCTCTACCTCATTCATTACCGTAAGGGACGAGCTAGACTGACTATGGGCAACTGCGTAATGCTGCCGCCCGGTTAGGGTTATGAAAGAGCTCGATGTATCCGTCGAGACCTCTTCGGGCAAGCACACTACATTACTAGGGCAAGGGGGGGGGGGGGGGGGGGGTGGGGTCGTGATTGAAGTAGGGGGCGGCCACGGTTTCCAGTTGGGGGGCGGGGGGCGTGGGGAAGTTGGGGGTCCGGATGGGGGTCCCAGGGGAAAACGGGGGGGGGGGGGGGGGGGGGGGGGGGGCGGAGGTTGGGATAGAGGGGGGCGGGGGGGGGCGGGGGGGGGTGTGGGGCGTTTGGTGGGGGGGTGGGGTGGGGGGGGGGTCGGAATTGGTCATTAAGTATGGAGAATCGTCCTAATGCACAGTGAAACAGGAACTATGAAGCAAATGTAGACTGCCTCCACCACCCTAGAAGAGATAGTCCCGTGCCCTACACCTACCGAAGCCCACTCACAGTCTGGTGGT